AACAAGAGAAAAAAATCAATGAAACTGAAAGCTGGTTCTTTGAAAAGATNAAAAACAAAACAAACAAACAAACAACACACAAAACAAAACAAGAGAAAAATCAATGAAACTGAAAGCTGGTTCTTTGAAAAGATGAATAAAATTAGTAAACCTCTAGTACTACTGAAAAGAAAAAAGAGAAGACATACATTTATAGTATCTGGGATGAAATAAAGGTTATTACTATGGATACCACAGACAATGAAAGGATAAGAGGAAAATACAACAACTCTACACACATAACCACCAATTTAGATGAAACGGGATAATTCCTTGCAAGCCACAAACTACCAAAACTCACAGCAAATGAAATAGGTAACGGAATAGCCCTACAACCATTTAAAAATTGAATTGATAGTTTAAAATCTTCCAAAATATAAATCTCCAGCTCCAGATGGTTTCATGGGTGAATTCTATAAAACATTTAAAGAAGAAATAACAATTCTACACCGTCTCTTCCAGACAAATAAAATGTAAAGAAACACTTTCCAAGTTATTTTATGACACCAGTATTACCCTGATACCAAAACAAGAAAAAGTACAGGAAAAGACAAATACAGACCAATATTCCTCATGAACACAGATGCAAAAATCCTAAACAAAATATTAGCAAATCCATATGAAAAGAAGCTTAATATCATTAGTTACTAGGGAAATGTAAGTAGAAACCACAAGACACCACTTCTCACTCCCTAGGATTGGCATAATACAAAAAAGGGACATTAACACAAGTGTTGACGAGGGTACAGAGAAATCAGAACTCTCCTATGTTACTGGTGGAAATGTAAAATGACACAGCTACTTCAGGAAACAACTTTACAGTTCCTTGAGAAGCTAAACAGAGTTATCTTATCCAGGATAGAGATATGGTATTATATGATAACTCAGCAACTGCCCTCCTAGGTACATAACCCAGAAAGAGAAAAACTTATACACTCATGTTCATAGCAACATTATTCATAATTGTCAACTCACCTGTCTACCAACTGATGAGTGGATAAACAAAATATATACTCATATAATGGAATATTAATTTGGCCATTAAAAGGAGTGAGGTATGGATACATTCTTCAGTGTGGATAAACCTTAACCACATATGCTAAGTGAAAAAAGCCAAATACAAAAGGCTAGAGACAGAGTGAACTAGTGGTTGCCAGGGTTGGAGGGAGGGAGGGAATGGGGAGTGATTACTAGTGAGTATGGGGCTTCTTTTTGGGTGATGAAAATGTTCTAAAATTAGATAATGGTTATGGCTGAATAACACTGTGAATATACTAAAAACCATGAATTTAACACTTTTAAAAGGGTGAATTTTATGCTATGTGAATTATAGTTCGAAAAAGCTGTGAAAATATATTAGCAAATTGAAGCCAGTGATACATAAAGGAATAATGCACCATGATGAAGTGAGGTTTATCCTGGAAATGCAAAGCTGTTTAAACATTCAAGAATCAGTTGCTGTATTCCACCATATCAACGGTCTAAAGAAGAAAGCCCTTATGATCCAATCAATCAATTCAGAAAAGCAGTTAAAATTCAACATACATTTATGATTAAAGAAATAAATCCACAAACCAGGAATAGAAAGGAATATCCCCAACCTGATAAAAATACACACACACGCACACATGCACACACGCACACACCCCACCCATACAAAGTCAGCTGTAGCTAACATCATACTTCATGGTGAAAGAGTAAATGGTTTCCTCCTTGCATTGGGTACAGATTACAAAGCAAGAAATGAAACTGTCCCTATTTGCAGACAACATGACTGGGCAGAAAATCCTAAGGAATCTACAAAAAAAAAAACAAATTTCTAGAACAAATTTGTGAGTTTAGCAAGGTCCCAGGATACAAACCTAACCTACAAAGGCCAGTTGTATTAATGACAAAATTATAGAGATGAGGAACAGATTAGTGGTTGTCAGGGGATAGGGAGGAGGGGAGAGAAAGGTGGCTGTGGTTACAAAAGGGTAGCACAAGTGATCCTTGTGATGGAACTGTTTGCTCTGTTTCTTGACTGTGTTGTCACATGGAGCTACATATGTAATAAAATTGGATAGAACTAAATGCACACAAATAAGTGCATGTAAAACTGGTGACATGGGAATCAGGTGAGTGGATTTTATCAATGTCAGTTTCCTGTGCTACCATATTATAATTATGCAAGATGTTACCATTGGGGGAAACTTGGTGAACAGTACATAGGATCGCTCAGTATTATTTTTTACAACTGCACATGAGCTACAATTACCTCAAAATAAAGAGTAAACAAAAAGTCAAATGGAACTCTCATACATTGCTAGTGTGAGTTCAAAAAGGTACATGCACTCTGGAAAATAATTTGGTAATTTTTTTTAAATCCTCACCCAAGGATATGTGTTTTCTTTTCATTGATTTTAAGATAGAGGAAGGGGTGGGGGTGGGG